TTCATATTATTAGCTAAAATTTTTGTGCATTGTTTTTTGCCAGCCACCTTTTTAACTCAGTTGAATTATCCTCAAAACAGTCATCTGAGGAGAACATACTGTTATTTCCATCTCAAAGATGAGGAAATTGAGGCTCTGGACATTTACATAGCTTACACAGGGTGAAGACAGCTGGTAGGCAGGAGGACTAGAATTCATACCCAGGCAGTTGAACCCCAGAGCCCTTCCAGTCTCAGCTATCATGAAAAATTAAGAAATAAAAAGCCAAAGAAAATGTGCTTGATGCAGTTGATGTATGGATTATTTTAAGAGCTGTAAGAGCCCCAGTAAAATTATATTTTTATAACACATATTACCTTTGGATTTCATGCAGAATACTGTGTATCTTTCTTCTCAGCCTCGTGCCCTACAGACTGAACACATGCTCTAAAATGTTTGGTGTATCTGTTTGTTTATTTTTTGAAATCATTTTATTGGGGGCTCTTATGAGCCCTTACATCAATGCATACATCCATTGTATCAGGCACACTAGTACAAATGCTGCCGTCATCCTTTCCAAAGCATTCCCTTTCTACTTGAGCGCTGGGTCTCAGCTGCTCGGTTTATTATGGACGTCAGTTGCCCATTCACACAGGATCACCAGCCCAGTCTTCCATTTTGATAAATACGGAGTAAAGAGCTGAAGAAATGGGAAATGTGGCCCTGGGTTTGAAGAGGAGGTTTCCCCAGTCTCTGGCATATTTTCACAACTTCAACTGCTTCTGGAAGTATTTTTTTTAAGTTATTTAATTTGACATGTGTAGCTTATGTCTGATCACTTTACTGAACCTTGTTGAAACTCGTCATTGTTTTTCAGTTGATTCTCATGCATATTCTAGGTGTAAAAACAGTAGTACCTCCCCTTCCCCATACTTGTGGTCTTGTATGTCAGCGGTATCAAATCGGCAGCCCCGGATGCTCTAAAATAAAATGAAAATAGAAAAAATTGTTATGAAAAAAATAGCGCTTAGGGGAGATCGAGGCAATACCGTACGCACAATTCCCTCGTTAACCCTTTAACTACTGAAGACGAGTCTACACGTGGCCCAGTGCCTTTCCTGGGGGCCTGTGGACGTGTATAAATGCTCTGACTCCGGCGACGTTTGGAAACGATATGTCTGCCACTCTCAGTGTCACGTAATGTAAACAGATCCCAAAAGCGAAAAGGTTAACAAGAGCATTCTGCATTGTGCTGGTATGAATCATATCTAGCAGCAGCACTAGTTAACGTTTTTAGAGGGAAGCCATTATGATCGTGCATCACGTTTGTCAGCTGTCCAACATGTTGTGTTTTTTATTAGTTACTTTGTTATATTTTCCGGTCACAGCATAAGAGGTAAGTGAAAACTAGTAGGAGGAAAGCGCTGGCAAGTTTCAGGTAAAAAATAATAATTTTAGTTTTATACATATATTAAATAAAATCAATGTTTAAATAAAAGCAGTTATGTAGTGTTTTAATTATCCTATCCATATATTCCTGAATCCTCACTTCAAAATGTAAATTTAACACAATCTGTCAATGTGATGTGGCCCGCGTGACTCTTGCCTGTTGCCCCAAATGGCCCACGTTTTCATTGAGTTGGACACCCTGTTCTATGTTAGATGACATCTCAAAACTGGAATACTGTATAGGTATTTTTAAAGGTAGATTCTTAGTAACATAACCATATATATCATAAACGTAAAAAAAATCAAGCTGTTGAGTCCTAATTGTAGAATCCAGTCATGCTTTAAAAACAAACAAACAAAGCGTTCCATTAGGGAAATTGCCCTTTCATCAAAACATTCCTGAACCAATGTAGAGACCTAAACGTTTCCCTTCTATACCCGTGGAAATCTTTCTTTTCCTCTGTTTTAATGCAAACGAGATTAGTTTTATCTTTTTTAAAAAATGAACCTTGGGAAGCATGTGTTACTTTAGAGTGTCTTATAGAAAGTCTGCCTAAATTTAACCTTCAGACTCATTTCTTCTTAGACGCAAAACCGGATGAAGCTAATGGCCGACAACTACGAGGATGACCACTTCAAATCCTCCCATTCCAGTCAAACCAATCATAAGCCCTCCCCAGACCAGGTACGACTGCTCTTGAATGTTCGTTAATGTATATGTATGCTTTCATTTTTATGTATCTTATTATGCTAGCGTGTTGCATGTCTTAGGAGTACAAATTATATTCTAAGATAACGTTAGAAAAATTAAAATGAGTAGCTAATTCAGTTTCTGAAAACTCCTTCATTTTTACTTTTTTTTTTTTAGTTTTACTTTTTTAAAGGAAAAATATTCTGATTAGGTTTTCTATAGACAGGTGCTACTGCAGAGTACTTTAAGAACAAATTCTAAAGGTTGATGATGATGATGATGATGATAGAGTCCTTGAATTGAGCTACAGAAAAAATATTAACCTCAGTGATGCATACTAGTTTATGGCAGTTCTATTTTCTTATCAAAGAAACTGTACCTTATTAGAAAGATATAAATCAATGATTAGTAACTTGTTTGCTAATAATAGCTTCTGTTTAATTGCAAACTAAAAATTTTATGCTCATTCCCTCTTAAAATGGAAGATTTAAATGTAGACTCCCAAATCCATGTTCTTGGTGGCTCCCTCCAATATATGCCGTTCTCTAGGGAAATTGTTGCCCTCAGCAGTGCAGCATAGGCACTGATGAATCTGAAGGGAGCCGTGTCCAGCACCAGCAGTTTGGACGAAGGGGGAGCTCTTGCAGGATCTTGAAAGTGATGGATGGTTTAGCATAGTGAATGGATTACCTCATAGCCCATTGCCAAAAATCAGATTTCAACATCTCCATCACACCCAGTCTTAAAATATATGGCTGAGGGGGAGAAAGAATGGTTAAGTAACTATATCCATATGACTAAAAAGTCAAGGAAAACTCCCCTGTCAGCCATCTTCACTACACGACATCTGTAGCCCTGTCTTAGGGGAAGCAGCAGGAGTATTGCAGAGGAAAGCAGAATGATAAACAAATGGCAAGTTTTTCTAAGATCGAGGGGGGATAGCCCTGCTCTGATGACACTTACTAAACCAGTTGAAGCAAGCCTTGTAGTTTAGAGGGAAAGCAGTACCAGTCTTTAATTATAGGCAAAACGAAAAGCTATCTACTTAGTGTCCACAACCTTTGCCCGCCAGCATATCACTCTGCCGTCTCTGCCTGATGCCTGAGGTACAATTATATTCTGGGGCGTATACGATGAACATTGAACCCTTTCCCTTGAAACAGGTTTTGATAATAGATAGAAGGGGGATGGAATGCCAGGGATCGGAGATGGAATAAAGTTCGGAGAAAAGGGGAAACCTAAAGAAAAGCTTTTGACTTAGTCAGTTTACCCATGATGAGGGCAATGAATGCACAAATGTGCTTTACACAATGATGTATGTATGGGTTGTGATAAGAGTTGTATGAGCCCCTAATAAAACTATTAAAAAATAAATAAATGAAAAAGTTTACCCAGATACAGTCCTGGGCTAGAGATGGCCTCTTGGAAATGTAGCGTAAGTACAGAGTAGAAATTTAAATTTAATGACAAACTCATTACTGATTTTCAGAGGGAGTTAGAATTAAACATAAAAAGAATCAAGAAACTAGAGTTCATCTTCTTCTGCTACATTATGCTTATGCGTTTGTTTTAAGTACTAACCAAGTCTTTTTCATTCCCATGCTGCTCTGGGGCATTGTCCCCTGTGTCGTCTCTCGCAATAGGATGAGGAGGAGGGTATATGGGCATAGCCAAGCAGATGCTCTTAGTTCAGCCATTTTGTTCAGAACGGTGAGAAACCGCTTTCCTTCACTTTAGAAATGTTGTTGCTTTGGTTTGTTTGTTGCTTATTGTTACACACCATCGATCACTATCACATTGTGTTTCTTTGGAATCCCTGGAGTCTTTCCGGGTGCTTTCCTTCCCTCCCTCACTTGGTTTTTGTGTGCCTTGCTGTGCTTGTGACAGAGTGGGCTTTCAATTTTGTGGCTCTTTTTGTTTCTTGTTGTATGTTAATGATCACTTATATAATTTCATGTTATGTTTTTTTTCCTTCTTTTGAGAACTTCCAGGGCATGTATCTCAATTTCTCCAGTTGTGGTTTTATTAATAAATTATTCTATCTAAGTGACTTTTTAAAATACTGTTATGATAAGAATTGTAGTCATGATGAAACTGGAAGTATAAAAATTGATCACATACTTTACCATTAACCTCGGTTTAGGATATGCTTTTTATAAAAGTTTATTTTAAATATAGAGTCTTTTGGAAAAACGATCTGAACTGTGGACTTAAACTTCCTTTTGTTTTGATCTATGGAAGAACGCGCTGAGTTCCCAGAGTCAGTCACTCATGTGGGAACTCTACCTAGAGCTTTGAACTTACTTTGAAACCATCTCTAAAAACAAGGAGGAGCACAGAAGGCTGGGAAGACTTGGCTCAGCCAGTGTGCATCGCTCTCCCTCTCCTTCCTGGATCGCTGCCGTGTTCACCGGCTGCCAGGACACTGTCCACAGTCTCCTTTGCAGGCCAATTGGCTGGAAAATACAGGCCAGCTGTGGCAATATTGCCCTTTGATTTGATGCCCTGGAGGTTTGACTAAGGAAATCCTTTTCTTAGAAAAAATAATAATTATGATTAATAAGTTCACACATATTGGTGGTCTTGCACTCTCTGGATTCACTGGCTATTCCGTGAGCTCACTCTTGTGGTGTCAGTTCACCCTGAGATGTCTGTAGCTGGTGTTGAGCTGCTTAGAGTGATGAGGACACATGTGGCCCTCTCACTAGTGAACACAGCCAAGAAGGATGAAGAGGTAAGTTGTGGAGAGGGGCTCATGCCTCGAAGATGGGAAGCCTTCCCATGACAGCAACCCGGGGATGTGAACAAAGGTGACAGGTGCAGTGGAAATCATAAAGCCTCTGTGGTGTGAATGCCGCATGCCAGAGAATGCTAAAGCTGAGAAGATGAGTGAACTCTTTCTCCGTATCTACACGCTGTGAGAATAGATGTCTGTCTTCACGAGGCATGTGGGGCTATACAGTAGTTGAGCATCGTTCACCAGTCTCTTTCTTAGATATGAACTAGCTTGTTTCTGCCTTGTCTCTTTTGGCAGAGCATCTTGGCAATGCTTCGGCAGGAAATACCCCTACACATCTATGAGCAGGGTTGTGTATTTTGATAGCACACCCTTTTTCTAGCCAATGACAGGAAGCAGGTTGGGGTTCTGGGAAACAGCTCCTCGGTAACAGCAGGAGACTGAAAAATTAGCAAACCCTAATAGAGACTTATCCTTGATGACTCTGTGGTAATAATAACTCAGCAAATGGCTGAAATATTGTTGATTTTGGTTTTCTCCATTTTCCCACTGTTGAGCCTATTGCCTTGTATACTAACTGCCTTGAGTTTAACATAGTACAGTCACACATGGCCATCTCTGGAGTTTCTTTAACCCAGTGTTTCAAAGTTTGTAAACTGTGCTACAAACGTCTTAAAGAGTTTTATCTAAAGAAATGTGGAAGTGACCCTTATAATTTGAGAGGTCTCGATTTGCTATTCAATGTCCTTCACTTGTTTCCTTGCTAATTCTCTAGAGGACAGATTTTCCCAACAAAACATTAAGCTTTTGAAACGTGTGGATAGATTCCTCCTGTAAAAGAATGTCAGTAATACTCTGCAACCAAAGCAGTATACAAGACAGCAGTGGGAGCATGGGCATTCCCAGATAAAGTCAGTACTCAGCTAGGAAGAGAATCATCGAAGTAGAGAGCAGCGAGGGGTCTTGGAGCTAGGCCACTTCGTGGACAAGGGGAGAGTGTGGTGCCAGAATGACAGCTTGGGAGCTAAAATGCTTGTGTTCAAGTCTAACCCCACCACTTGGTCCCTGTGACCTTGGTGTTCTCTGTCCTTCAGCTTCCTCACCTCTTGTGATAAGTACGTCAGTTAGGAGTGTTACAGCCTGTGGAGGCAGACTGCCTGGCAGCTCTGAGCCCAGTTTCTCCACTGACTCATAACCAGGGAGAGACGCTAAACTCCGAGAACCCTAGTTTCCTTACTGTGTTAGTCTAGGTGGACTAGAGAAACAAATTCATAGACACTCATATGTGTATAAAAAAGAGCTTTAAATAAAAGTGCAATTGTATATTGAGAAAACATCTCAATCCAGTCCAGATCAAGTCCGTAAGTCCGATATTTGCCCAAAACTCCAATGCCACTGTATCAGTTCCTCTTCAGACTCATGAACACATGTAATGATGCCACATGCGGGAAGATCATAAGTCAGTGGTTGGGAAGTCTTGTGGATCCAGTGGTGGTGGAAGCATCTTAGCACTGGCATGGGTCTCCACATGACTCCTCTAGACCCACAGCTCTGAGCGCCATCAGCATAGCTCCATGTCTCTTGTTGACTGGAAGGTGTAACAGAGAGTGTCTCTGGCCTCCAGTGAGCTATTTATCTCCTTCGAGCCTCCAAATGAGGTCATCAAGCTGCAAACTGATTGATAGGCTAGACTCCACCCCTTTACAAGTTGACAGATTATGTAACTGCCACATATCCCTATAAAATGAGCTTATTAATAACACCTACTTCATAGGCTTGACAAAAAGATGAGAGAAGTTATTATATGTAAAATGCACTTAACAGTGCCTTCTCCATAGCAGAGACTCTTTAAGTGTATGGTGTTATTATCTTTTTAGTTGCTCTTGCCCACTTACATCTATCTCCATCCAGGAAGTAGCCAGGTTTCAATAAATGTTAGTTAACTTATAGTCAGGGTCATCATCTGACCCAAGTGCCCTCGTTTTATAGGGGAGTGCAGATGAACGATTGGAAATGATGACTTAAGATCCCCAGGCATTTCTGTGGCCTGGAAAGAGGGACTTGTAGCTGACAGTGGGAGGGATGTCTACAATATACTAGTGATTATATCCTTCTTTTTCATGGCCAAACGTTTAATCTCCTATACGTTGAAGAATGTTTCCCTTGGGAAAGCATCTGGAATTTTACAAAGAAACTTAGGCCGCCCTCCCGAGACACACAAGATGTCTGAGGCGAAGGGTTACAGTCCTTTCTCTGT